CATTCACATCACGAATGGTGTGAATTCACACTAATTATTCAAAGGTTAATCCACATTGCCAACCATGTGACTAGCGATGAGCTGGCAGCATGCAATGTACAGTGTGCATACTCTCAGCTCAGTGAGATAAAAATATTAATGTGACTAATGTGTGAAAATCCTGCAGCCACAGATCTTCTCTGAAAACTGGTATGGCAAACAGAGACATATGGATCATGGCTCCAGTGTCTGAAAAGGGTGTGATTTACCCTGCGTGGAATAAATATTGTAAAAACTAACCGCCTATATAGTGGTGGTGTCTGATAGCAAAACAATCAACCAATCAACATGACAGTATATGCATCAAGACTTCCCATTAACTATACACACGAAGTGCACTGCAACATGGAAAACACACCAATCTTGGTCAACAACTGCCAAAAACATTCTCTGATATGTCTTTAAAGGTCCTATATCATTGTAAACTGAATTTTCCTCCATTTTTTTTTATAAAAAGAGTTTGCTATAGTACAGAAACATTGTTAAAACTTTCAAAACATCATCTCATTCACTCCACAGACAGTCCATCTAAGCAAACCAAGCTGCAAAAACAGCCTGTTTGAAATGAATTGTTTTCGTGATGTCACAAAAACATGCATCTGTCTATTCAGCCTACAGCAGTTTAGCTCTGCTCAATGATACTGATGCAACAAAAAACAGCTTTTCAGTCTGATCTGCTTTTTGAATGAAGCACAATGCAGGGCAACCAATCAGAACAGAGGTCATTTACAGATACGTGTCTTAACGGCATGGTAAGAAACAGTTTATTTTATTTTAAAGGAAAAAGAGAGGTGAGGAAATGGTCATGTAAAAATTAATTCCAAATGTTTTTGGTACATAAACCACACAAATCTTAGGAGTGGACCTCAGAGGAAAAAAAATAAAACACAAGAAAAATGAAGGATATTGGCCTTTTAAAATGGATACCTGGCTTCACTGGACTCTGTAATCTTAGTGAGCACAAGAAGACACTGTGTGAGCACCTCTAACCTTGAAACAATACGCTGCACCATTATTAGGACAATAGCATCATTTTAATATTAAATAATTGTTATTCATTTTTGCTGGTTTTTCTCTTTTTTTGGCTCACCTTCAGTATCTTCTTATTTTCTCTGTTTTCCCCCTTTCTCTCTATCTCTCATTCTTCTCTGCCTCCTTCCTCAATGCACCTTGTTCTCAGAGGCCTGAAAATAAGAACGATGTTGTCAGTTAATTTGATTGTCCTTGATTTGTTTGCTTTTCTTTGCCTAAGCATTTGTCTGCCCAGTCCTGTCTTGTTACTATAAGCATAGAACAAAGTCCCCATGTGCACAAGCTTGCTTACATTTTTGCCCCCAAATTTAAAATATTAAGATTATCATGGCACAAAAGCACAATCAGTATATCGTTGCTGTCAGGACAAAACCTTGTATGTCCAAAATGGTGACTTCACAGGAGAAGGAAAAAGCGTTCCTTCACTTTGAATAGAAGTTAAAGGAAAGATTTTTTTCAAGAAATGTTGGTCCATTCATCATGCAATTTTAGCATGTTGTAAAGGGCAGCTGCCGTCTTAAAAAAGTACAACTCAACAAAAATGGAGGTATAAGGCTCAAAACATTTTTATTCTACTACAAAGAGAGAGACCTGAGGACTTCAAGCATTGCCCTTTATTAGTTTTGTCATTCTTTTAGTATACTTGACCAAAGTGCTCATGAAGAGATTTAATTTGAGTTGAAATAAGAGCATTAGTGAAAGTAAACCATAAAATCTATCACTAAAAATCTGTTCATTTTTGTATTCTGAGACTAGTTTTGCCTTTTTTCTAAAAAAACAGAGCACTGGCCCTAGTAGTATTAAGAGTGTATCTACAGTGTTTGAGCTGGAAGACAATTATCTATGAGGCTGTTTTTAGTCACTGTAAACACAAAGTCTGCAAAGACAGAGTGAAGTGGCACACACTAAACATTTCCAAAACAGTGCTGCACAATCTGAAAGCATTTTATGCACCAAGGTGAAATGCGCAACTGTTAACTACTCAACGTCTGCCAGCCTCAAAATCTTTATTTCATTTTTGTACCTTTTGTTAGTTTTGAAAAAAAAAAAACACAACAAGCCAGATTTATTAAAAAGCAATTAGTTTGTTCTGTATAAATAAAACAGCCTGCTGTCAAAAAATGGTGCACTGCTTGTGAGTGCATGGGCTATGTGAGTTATACTGAATTATAGAGTTATAAGAGTAAGAGTTATACTGAATCTGAACACAAATAAATAGGAATAGTGTTGCGGCTCTTTCTACCACAGCACTAATGAGCCCCCCGATTTTTGTCCTGCAACTGGAGGGTGCAATTACATTTCCACATGACTGCAACACTGTGATGCATTTGGAGAATTTCTTCTTTCTTAACTGTTGCTGTCAGTTACATATAGGCTGCGTAAGCAAAACTGATGGATTTGTACATTTCTGAGTGTTTGAAATAAGACTTATTTCTATTCAAGTTTATTTATGGGGAAATTTAGTTCCTACATAGTTTTAAGTAATTTAGTTCTTAATTTCTTTTTGGGATTTGGTTCATTCACATCCTGGACGGCCTTGCTGTTGCTCACACCTCTCAATTTCAAGCTGTTGCATTTTATTTTAGGTCAAAATGTTCCTAAAAAGAGAAAAGTACAGTCTAACAAACTTCAGTTTCTATGCTAAAAGATGCTGGATGCACTGCGACGTTCCACTGCAGAAATTCAGCGTTTTCAGTCTACATTTACTTCTACTTGAGTTGTTACTATATTGAAGTAGGCTAACAATAATTTATCAACTAAGAGGTAAGTGTCTAAACCAGGGTTGCCCAATCCTAGTCCAGCAGAGCTATCCTAGTCCTGGAGATCTACCACCCTGCAGAGTTTAGCTCCAACCCAAAACTTAACACATCTGATCCAGGTAATGAAGGCCTTCAGGGGCATCTGCATATTAAAGCCAGGTGTGTTGGATCTGAACCTTCCAGAGTGGTTAGATCTCCAGGATCAGGACTGGGCACCCTTAGTCTAAACAATACACTTTATGTTTACTATACATGATATTGGCCCCATCTATTGGCCGTAAGTGCGCATTACAACAGATTTGCTACACAGTACAGCCCCCCTTCCTCCCTCACCACAAACATTCAACCAAACTTTGATGAAATTCTTTAGGTTACTTTATAAAATGTTCAAGTGTTTCAGAAGGGCGTGTTTCAGAAAGAATCATATTCAGTGCATCAAACTGATATTAGACTTGGTGGAGAAAGCCTGGAGAATAATTCCATCCAGACTGTACTGAGTGTACTGTAAAGCCCAGAAGTGCAAACATCAAAGTCTGGGGCTGTTTATCATGGCGTCAGTGAGCTTGTGTTCACTGATGGGATCTTGACCCCAGAAGTGTACAAAGGCATTTTGAATGAACATCTACAGATGGCTGCAAAAAATGGTTCACATGATCACAATCTGAAACACGCCAGTTGCTTTTTGAAATAATACTTTGGCAAAAAAGTCACACCTGCGTTCAGATTTATAGCAAAGTGGTGCAAAAGCCATCCGCACGGGTCTACAGAGAAGAGGGTGAAATAGTCAGATCAGTCTTTCTTCACCATATTCTCCAGAAGTGGGGGAGTGCTGGCATGTTTTGAGGCCACTTGTCCCCTTGGAGTAAAAGTTCACTGCAAATGAATGCAAAGTTATTCTCACTGTTCCAGAGACTGCCAAGGCACTGTTCTGGTGGTTCCTGGTAGTCCAACACCTTACTAACCCACTGCTGTTTTGTCCTTTGTCACCCATCTGTGTATCACTCTGAAAAGCAGAGTAACAAAAACATCCAATTTTACTGTAAGATAAAAAGAGAGGCTGGTACGGAGCCCTGCTGGTCACATCCCGTATAAATAAAAATAAAGACTTAACTAGTAAGCCTAACAATTCACGGCCACGCATTAATATCTCGTTCCTACGCGTTCATATGGCGTGGCCACGCATTATTTTTATTTATACAAGATGTCACCAGCAGGGCTATCTTGTATAAATAAAAATAATGCCTGGCCACGACTTAGTAAAGCGTGGGAACGAGATCCTATGTGTAGCCTTGATCTCGTTCCCACGCCTTACCAAGTCATGCCCACGACTTAATCATCTCATTCCCACGCCTTACTAAGTCGTGGCCACACATTAAGATCTCGTTCCCATGCGTTAATAAGTCGTGGCCACGCATTATTTTTATTTACACAGGATGTCATCATCAGGGCTCCTTAGGGCTCTGTAAAAGCTGATAGATGGTCATGTAAAAATGAATTATGGCTGTTTTTGGTTCATAAACCCACATGAATGTCATAAGACAGCGGTCTCCAGCCTTGATTCTGGAGATCAACCTTCCTGCAGAGTCTGCCTTGGCTGGACCAGATGTACTAGTGATAGCCAGGTAAGCAGGACGCAACATGTTTCAGGATAGTGGATCTCCAGGAGGAGGGCTGGTGATCACTCACACAAGGACTTCAGGAGGACAAAATAAAATAGCTACCAAAAAAACAAACAAACAAAAAAAAAAGAAAAAAAAACAAAACGCAGGATATGAGCCCTTAAAATGTATGTGCTATCGTTCAGCTAAATCATCACACCAAATGGCAAGAATGTAAAAGTAAGTATGTCCTTACCTGTTAGACGTGTTCCACACTGGCTGGAACAGTTAATTTACGTTTATAAGCTTTTAAAAGCCATGTCATGATTTTTTCCCCTGATTTTACAGTCCATGTAACGTAGGTTAGCTTGCTAGCTAGTATGAAATGAAGCTAAACTGGTTAACTACCTAGCTAACGCTAGTTAGCTATCGTGTCGTCTGTTTTTCTCTTTTATCCTGAAGCACAGCGCCAACATGAATCGCTTGACGGAGTAACTTATAATATTTGAAATCTAGCTAACAAAATAGTTACGATTTGACAGCTGGTGTATTTAATCTCTACTAGCTAAATATGTTTAAAAACAAAACTGCTTGGTTTTCAAACAGCGTAAGGAAAGATATTCCTAGGTTTTGGGGTAAGTGACAAACGTTAGCTTAGCGTAACCGTCACTGACACTGACTGGTTAGCACCGCTGGCTAACTAAGGTACGCTTCGTTTTCTGAGAAGTTACTTAGCGTTACAGATGTAGACTGATACTGTGTATTAAACGGTGTAAGGAATTTCGTTCGTACTTCATAAATGTTACGGCGTAACGTTGAGTGTCAGTCTGTAAGACAGGCAATTCATTATGAAGCAGCTAAGGTTGGCTAGTTGGTAGCAGAGCCCGTTCTCTGTTGGTAGTCTAATTAGCTAGCCACGTTTTACAATGTAATCTAGTGACCATGTCAAATAATCAGCATTACTTTCAATTAACCTGGATTTGTGTTACACTTCTTAAGACGTTGAGTCTGTTGTTTAGCAGTAGACCAGATCTTTTAGTCTCACTGTTTAGCATTTAACTTAACGTTATAAACACTTATTGTTTGGTGCCATTCTGTTAAAAATGTTATTCTTGGAAATATTGTTGGCTGATATTACCTTAAGCTAGTTAGGTTAATAACTTAAACTAATGTTAATTTTTAAACACACTGCATATTTTTAAACACATTCATCAGTTAATTTACAACTATTCAATTAGTTATCATTTCTGGCTAGGAAATGATAAAAAAAATGGAAAAAATCTGTAGAAGAGGCATCTGTGTTGTGTTTGTGCAATAATGACATCCAAGTGAATTCACATAAATTAACTGCATTTAGAGCATGTTTTTTACCCTTTACTTGTGCTTTTAAAATAAGTTGACATTTTTGCCATTGCGCCTTGGTTATTTGTGACTCTGGTTCTCATAAACATGGCATGAATCCACGTACCTTCATAAATCCCATTAACATAAACTGTAATGTTGTTGTCAGTGTCTCAGGGTGGAGTTATCTCCAGCTGGAAAACAGCAGATTACCTCTTCAGTGATGACGCTTACTGTCCCGAGACTAAAAGGTATTGAGTGTATTCATACACATCAGAACGTTGTTTTATTCTGGTTTGAAAGAGTAATGTTCAGAAGCCTAATTATATCTTAACTTTGAGGGAGCTAAATGGATCTGGATACTGGATAGCTGTATTTGTTTTGGTGTATTTATTCCCTTTGTTTATTTCAGGATACATGTTAGTGATGCCTATGCTATGGACAGAGCCACAGTGTTCCACAGCTCCTATCTCTCAACTTGCCGACTACGACAGAGCACTAAGTCTGTGCCGCTTGGTCACTATATGCTGCCTCCTGCTTCTGTACAGAGAGGTGAGCTGTATGTGTCTGCTATGAGAGATTTCACATCTTGAGTGTTACATACATACATGTGAATGTTAATATTGATAATTAGTTTAATATATTTAGAGGTGAGAGCCATGATGGGAAGATTCATTTGGGAGCAGGATGAGTTGGAAGAGGTTGTAAGTATGTTGTGTATAAAGTTTTTTTTTTTTTTTGGACCAGGGGTCACCAGTCTTTTTCCACAAAGGGCCATTGTGGCTGTAGGTTTTCATTCCAACCCACCAGTCTCATAAATAATCAGTTGTTTGAAGACTGAGACCAACTGAATAAACAAGTGGAATCAGATGTTTTTGTGCTTGATTGGAACAGAAACCTGCAGCCATACTGGCCCTTTCTGGAGATGACTGGTGACCAAAGGATTAGACTTTGGTATCTTAAGTATGGTGTCTCTATCTTTATTAAAGACGATACATGGAAACAGAAACACAGAGCAGACTGTGAATGCTCATCCTGAAGATGGAAGAAGTCTGAAGGAGAAAGGAAAGATAAGGTTTGTAGCACCCTCAGGTAGATAATGGGACACGTCAGTATACATAAATATATATAAAATGTATGTATGTATGTGTAACAGTATCTTGGTAGCCCATATATGTTGACACTTTGGTTTGCTGTGGTCATGTGGTATCAGAAAATGCACTGGCTGGTGATGCATCATAGACTGGTAAACTCAGGTAACATGAACCTTTCCAGAGTTTACAAATCATATTTACAACTTGTTCGATGATTCATGAGTTTGCCGGAACAGTCTGAATGCACCATTTAACAAGCATTTAATTATTTCTTTAATAGTTGCTTTAGGTCATAGAAGTATAAACTCTAAACTCTGGTACAGTGGACCCCCTTGGATCTATGTTTAACCTCTTATTCTCCAGGGTATATTTTGTTTTTTTCCATCTGAATTTACATGACCAAATCATAAGGCAAATTATTCAGTAACTGCATGAAATAAATGTAATGTAAAAGCTCCCCTCAAATTAACAGAACATGTGTTTTATGATCATACACATATTGCTATATGCTTACAATTTACTGCGGAAAGCCAAAAATCTTAGACGCTCTTTGTATTATTTTATAAAAATAATTTTTACAGAGTATATCACTGAAGAGACACCATCTGTTTATAGTTTATAGCCCAGATTTGTGGAAAAATGGGTCGACTTTCAGTAGACAAAAAATTGTGAGCTCAGCTTCTATTATAAGGGTTTAAAATTACATTACCCATCTATTTGACTGGAAAGAAGACAGTCACAGCTCTCATATGACACCCACTTTTTTGAATGTAGCTTACGAAATATGAAAGTTATGAAGAATATGACGAAGTGCGTTTTGGAACCACTGGTCAAAGGGACTTTTCCTGTTGCGTGCTAAAATAAATAAATAAATAATGCAGTAATACAGATGCTTATGTGTCTCTTAGCCAGGAAGACTGCATGAACACATCTCCATCAAGGGATGAGCCAGTCTGCTGTGACGTGCAATTCTATCCTGTAAACAACATGGTTTCAGGTACTGAATTAACATGCAGTTAATGAAATGAAAACTTCCATTTGATTGGAACAGTAAGGGCTGGTTTCTCAGAAATGGATTAAACTTGGTCTTGCACTAAATTGCAGATGGTGAATCACCGCTGAACATTGTTTTCACTCTGGTGTTAATCTGGGTTTGGGAAACCAGCTCTGTGGCTCAGTTTTATTTGTTCTATTCTAGTTTATGGTCTTTTTATACAGGACTGCAATAAATGTTTCATTCCAAAATGCATATTTGTAACAATTTTGGAAATAACACACTTTTGAAAAGAAAACCGCTGACCCATTCTCTAAAAGAGGTGATAACAATCATAATATAGGATTAATAATTCTCATATGTGTAATAGCTCACTTCCAACAAGGTAGATCTCGCTGAAAAGAAGATTCTTGAAAGTGGTCTATAAAGCATTTTGGAATGAAACCCTTCAAATGTAGTTGTGCACTTTGAATATACCAGAGGTATTCAACTCTAGTCCTGGAGAGCAGGTGTCCAGGACAGTCTGGCAAGTCCTCTACTCAAATCTGCCCACTATACCTCGCAATTAAAAGATGAGTTGAATATTATAAGTTTAAAGAAGGAAATTATCAAGTTGTTCACGACACCAGCCCTCCAGCACTGGCATTGAATAGCCCTGATCTACATCAGGCGTCTTGAGGAGTCTCTTTAAGATGTACCATCCTACAGTACTTAAATCAAGTCATAACATTTGTGGTATTTGGACCTGGATTGGGAATATGTGGACTTTTTGGGGTCACCACAAACATGATCTTGTCAAAAGCTAGGTGTTTGAGACTGACTGTTCATGTTTGACTCCTTTATAGGATATACACATATTGACCAGCTCGAGAAGTACTCTGGAGAACTACATGACTTCCTTCCCTCCCACACTGGTTATTCAGTCTCTAGGACACACAGTAGGAGACATCGTTATCAACACAAACTGGGGCAGTTTTAACACATTTTAATTTATTTTTAAGGCTAGAAACTGTTTACCATTTTAACACTCTTGGGGACATTGAGATAAGACCTGGTTATAATCTTATGTTAATGAGAGTTTGTGATTCATTTCATGGTGCTTCAGCATTATGTAAGCTTCACATATCCAGGCAAGATAAGTATACCATTTGTAGATGTCCCTGTTGAAATGCCATGCTTAATTTCAGATATAACCAGATGACTGTAAATAAATGAATTCTGCAAACTGGTTTTTATCTATAAGTCTGTTGCTCTAATGCTCCAAGGCAACAGAGCCTGAGATGACATCATGTTCTGAAATATGCATGTTGCAAATGAGATATTACACAACCCACATGAACCAATCCAGATACTTTATCATATAACATGCAGACCTGTTTTTTGTTGTGTAAATCAATGGTGTCCAGTCATATCTGCAAAACTCTGGTGTAGTTTTTCATTCCAACAAAGCAGGAGTACACATCATCAGTTGTTTGAAGACTGAGACCAACTGAACAAACAAATGGAATCAGGTGTTGCTGGTTGTTTAGCACGAAAACCTACAGCTACACTGGCTTTTTGCAGGTAAGACCGGACACCTCAACAAATGGACGGATACACACACTGTGAGTTATTTACAGCTCAGTACATTTGATTTTTGCACATGGTGAAAAATCTTTTATTGGCTTTTTTTAGTATTTTGGTTCATCTGCTCAGAATCAAATCAATGTCTCTTGTGTAGTAGGCAGACTGCTAGGAATGTAGCTGGGAATTAAAGAGAATAATAAGCATACATATTTTGTAGGGTGCAGGCTAGAAGCTTTGATGCAAGGGTTTTTTTTTAACCCTCATTGATTACTGTAATTTCTGAAACTGGGATATCAATACAGTTCCATGTTACAGTATTTTATTATCTGTCTGTTAGTTATAGCCGGGACCATACATCTATACACTTCACTTGTAGTTGAAATTAGTTACAGAAGACACTGCTTTTAAATTAAAATTAGATTCTGTTTTAACATGAAGTAGGCAAACAGGAAACATTCTAAATTTAAAGCCTTCAAAAACCTGTTTCTCCACCCTCCAACAGGCTTTTGTAATTTGCAAATCAGCAAACACTAACTTTCAGGGTGTATAACAGGCTTTTGTGCAAATGGAATAAATGTACCTTTTGCACTTGAAATGTAGTGGGGCTTCAAAATGCATTTATCTGCCATAGTTATCAAAATAATGGAAGGATGTGCTCTGTCTGAACCAGTGCTATACCACAGTCACAATGAAGAAAGCCATTTTATTATTTGATTTCACAAAAGTGCTTTCACAACCTACAAATATAGAAACAAAAGCAGCAAATGTTATACATATAGAATTTTAAACAATGCATACACTAATAAAATCAACTTCAAGGAAACATCTATGATAAAAAAAAAGCCAGTGAACTGTGATATTTGTAAAGATGGTTTAGTTGTACATTATTTTTATGGTGTTAAAACCCACTGCTCAAATCCAGTCTCTTCTGGATCTCTCAAGTTGTCAGAACAAGAGATCTGTGTTTAATATTTACTGTGTTCAACGGCAATTTGCTTAAAAAACAAACATTGAACACTTCATCTAAAATAAGAGAGTGGCATTAGAAACACACACTTTGAGAAAGTAAAAGTTCTAGCCACCAGGGATTATTTGTTTATAGGTACAGCTTCTAAAACGGCAGCAACAGTGATTTTCTCAAAACATTTCAGAATGGTGAAACGGGAGTTCAAGAGACGTGGAGTTCATTTCCCCATTCTTGATCTTGATGGTAATCTCCTCTTGTGCTGTATTGTTGGCGATCCACATGGTGATCAATATGAAATTCCTTACAGTCCTCGTGATGCTATTGGATGTGGGGTCGTGGCTTTAGAATAAGTTTCCCTGTCTAAAACAGAGCACAAAGAGCCATCATCAAAACTATAAGACTGGTTCATGAAAGAATTAAACATATGCAAAGCAGTTTTGCAGCAGCCCACATTACAGAGCATCTGATTGGCTATTTAAGAAGCAGCAAAAATCAACCGTGTGTCTTTGTGAATTACTGGCAAATACTAGAAAAGACGTTCGTGAGAAGAAAAAAAAAATCCTAATGCACTGAACCTTGTATATTTACTTACTTCCCCCCCCCTTTTGAATAACTGTCTTCTCTGAAAAGTAAGATTAGCTGATAAATGATTTTTTCACAGCCACTTTTCTCACCTTTACCATTCATGCCCAAATAATGGTGGAAGTCTCATAACTCATATCATTAAGGTGAACTGCATAACTAAACATTGTAACCTTGCCCCATGTGTACATCTAAACATCTGGGGGGAGAGAAATTCACTTTAAAAAGTCTAAAGTCTTCACTGTTGTCAAGATATCATTAATTACAAATGCCTTCAATACTCACATCATCACAGGACATGTTGTATTCTGCGAGCACTGTCCGGCAGCGTGCAGCAATACTGAAACAGAGTCAAGGAAAAGGCCACTCTTGGTAATATCTTACAAGATAGGATGGTGGTAGGATGCAAAGTTTCCATCATGTGAAACTGAAGTGAGGTGGTGAATTTATAGGGAGTAGAATGGAGGAGGAGTAGTTTTGGGTATGATCTTTCTCCAGAAAGAGAGATAACTCCCTGCTCCCAACATATCCACAAGGTATTTCTGAATTAGCTGATGAGTTCAGTCAGGTGTGTTGGGTGCAAGGAAAATCAAGGGTATTCTAGGGGTCTCTCTCATGAAAGCTAACTTTAAGCTTAGCTCAATCTAACCCTGGGTTTCTGTTTCACAATGGTGGATAAATTTTAATCGAGCTACATCACCATGTGAGCTTATGCAGCACACCTAACGTGATCTGAGGCAGATTCAGGATTTCAGACCATAAACAGCTCTTGGACCAACCAGGTCTGAGCTTCTAACCCATCAGGAACAGCGTTCTGAGAGGGGGTGGACCCCTGCAGTCCTTTTCAAAAAGCATTGCTCTTTACAGGTATAATTTTAAAACATAGTATGATTTCTTTGTCTTTCTTTAAAATAGTAGCCACTCGGCTCCATGTTTCATGATCGGCTGTTTGCCATAAATATAATGCCTAATGTGCGTGCACAAGAGGATTAATCCTGGCCTGAGTATCTAAACCTGCATTAACAGAGAAAGTTGTTAATTGCTGTTGTAAAATAAGTTAACCATGATTGCACTTGTTAGGTTCTGTGAAGCTGAAAGCCTGCTTGAGTTTAATTGTGAGACAGGCCTCAGGAGTAGAACTGGGTAACATGCGTTCCCTAAACAAGTTTGAGAATGACCACTCTTTACGTTTATCTTTAAGGTGGTTCCAAACCTCTGCTCAGCCCTAATAATTAGAGCCTGATATGTTGGCTGACAGCAATTTATTGCCTAGAATGCAGTGATAATTAGAAACCTTTTGTTGTTGTTGCATCCCCAGGATTCAAACTTGCAATGTCACAGTGACAAGGAGAAACCTTAGTCCAATAAGACTCATCTCTTTTAACATCACAGAAATACAGGCTGAATTAGTAAATTTGAAAACACAAAAACAAGGTTAAAATAACACAAATATGTAAATTTAACTCAGCTCATATTATCAATAATCAGATTTTAGATTAGTTTCAGGCCTCACACCAAACCCTAGCTCAACTCTGTGCATGACATGTTAACAGTTAATGCAGGATCTCACATGAATAAGGATACATTGATGGCGCAACAACGCGCTTATGTATTCCAGCAAAGAATAGACCGATGAGAGTGACACAGCTGATGGTGAAAAACGGATGGTTCCATAAAGATGAAAAGAAAGATACCTGTGGAAAGGAAAAAACAGTAAGTTCTAAAAAGTATAAGGGGCACAGCAGGCACAAAAAAACATCACAAAACAATTTTTCCCCCACCTTCTGAGTGTCTGGGTCTATTAACCAGTTCCAAGCTCCAGTTGCTGTGCAAACTGACACTACAATCAAAATCACTGAAATAAAACAAGACATGTGCACACATGCTGAGGTAAGATGAGACATGTAGCAATAAGCATTCAATGTCACATTTCATCTTGTGTCAATAACGTGCTTGAGACAAAACAGCATAAACATATACATATACATATACATATATACATATATATACACATATATATATATATATATATATATACACACATATATATATATATATATATATATATATATATATATATATATATATATATATATATATATATATATACACACATATATATATATATATATATATATATATATATATATATATATATATATATATATATAAACCCCACATGGCATCCCTTACAAAAGATCATTGGCAAGAACAACTTCAGGAACCCTTATTAATACTTTAGTAAGATTTCCTGAAGTTTGGTGTTGCTAATGAATTTTAGCAGCTGTAAAAACGAACAGCACAGATAGCACTAGCAGTATGCTAGTCTACATGATTTTGTACTGTATGTATACTTGCTGAAAGAAAAGTTCCTGCTATGTTTATGACTTCGTTGTGTTCTGTTAAGGTGTATTTTATGATGAAGAAAGAGCAGCATCTCTAGGGTACCCCAGCTTTAGTCTACATGTTCATCCCCTTCAGCTATATCAAGTCAAGGTTTAGATTATAAAGACAGCATCAACAATAGGAAACACAACAAACAAGATAACAACTGTGTAAACAATGACAAATGTGAAGCTTCCCTCCATCCATTCACCGCTGTCTAGCTACTATTTTGGGGATAAAATGCCTTACTTCGCCACCGGCCTGTGGCTGGCTGCAGACAGGACACATACTCTGTCAATCTCCTCTCAAAGGCCTTTAGATCTACACAAAAAGAGAACACCACTGTTTAAAGACTTCCTGCAGACAGCAGGATAGAAATGATTATATCAGTTTTCTCATGTTTACTTGTCTTCACATATTTATGTGGAACCAGACATGCTTTTGTTATGATACTATTTGCATAAATATATGTGAGCCTATATAATAGTGGTAAAATTTTTACCATGGTAGAATAATAGAATGGTAGTATACTGCAACTGAAGTCACCTGGTTAGATGTGACTGCTGTTCTGGGCCAAAACATATAGAGCATCTCAGGGCAAGATTTTAATTAGATTTTTTTGTTTTTTTATGACTATAATGAGTATACATAAGTCAGGAACCTGGTCCTAGGTCAGCATCACTGCTCTTGAGCTACTTGTGAGTATAAGCACAGATACATGTGTGTAGGTGTAGGGTAAGAACATGATTTAACTTGCCTGATTTAGTCTTGTCATAAACAGACATTTTATAACTATAACAACAACAACACTACTACTACTACTACTACTACTACTAGTAGTTCTATCAAAATAATAATAAAATCCTATCTGTACTGGCAGATAATTAATCAGATGTTTAGATGTGGCTGACAACCAATATTTAATGGCACATGTATTTTTGGAAGAACAGAATGTTTAAGTGACACTGGGCTACTGTATTAAAATATATGCAGCATATTCATTTTACAGCATCTGTAATAAGTTGTAGATGTATATATTACATTTATTTGTAATGCTAATCCAGCTTCATGTAAAATCATATTCTGGATTGTGTAATTGTTTATTGGACAGATTCATATATTAAAGATGTCAACGATTCCCCTATCAGTGCATCACTCATAATAAACTTTGTATCACACCCTTCCTGTATAGAAACTCTTAAAGTGCTTCACAAAAAGTGTGCAAACAGAATAAGCATAATCAAAAGACAAAAAATAATAATAATGAACTGAGACAAAAACCACCGGAAAGATGAAGTGAATAAACAGGTTTAAAAAAAAAAAGGTGAATAGAAGAATAGAAGGTGCCTGACGGAACTAAGATGGCAATGAACTCCAAATCCTAGAGCATGCTGCATCATCACTTCTTTTATATTTTAGTCTAAACATGTCCAGTAAGCCAACATTTGATGAGCTTAAGATCTCAACTATGATTCCTATTTCTCCCTATACAGCACACTGTATGCTTTGTTAACAGCTCTCAAACTCGCATAAGCAGGCTTCGTGTTATGCTTTGATATTTTTTACATGACAGCAAGTAACGTTAACCTAGATGAGTTAAGACATTACAAACTAGCCTAGGCTGTTCTTCCATTGCCATGTTTGAACACTTCAATTCAGTTCTCAACGGGGGAAATTTTGTACTACATACTTAAAACTAGGATTTAAATAGTCCGTACTCTCTACAACACTGCTTCCTTTTTAATAAATAAACAGATAGCGCAAGGCTCAATACATTAGCTTGTGGCTAACTGCTGGGTGTGTAGCTTAGCTTGCGAGACAGACAGAATGGTAACTGCCCACTGTCATCACAAAATAAACTTATTTTAGCCAAACATTGAGATTTTAAAAGTAATATAACCCTTCGCATATGCAGATAAAGTAACAACATTCTGAAACAACGTTAATTTCAGAAATACCTTCGGCTTGTTCTAGTGAATTCATAGCTCTTCCCCGGTGCAGGCCGCGCCGCCACTCACAGCGCTGCAGTGGAAGCTCGATTCTCATTGGCCGAAAGGCCGTTACGTAGCACTTTAAAGAGCTGCGCGTGCGTTTAAGGGCGGCTGGGCAGACTAAGGCCGAATCTCAAATAGCGCCGTGTTCCCTTTGTAGTGCACGGCAAAGGTCATGAAATCGTGGATTCTGCACTCAAATAGTGCACTAAATGGAAGTCGCGTAGCCTATGATGGAATAGAAATTGCCTTTCGTTACGATATGATGCACGATTTTGGTGTAGAAGCCGTTATATCACGACCTACATTGTGCACTACTTAGGGTTTACTCAGGCATTTGAGATTCAGCCTTACTTTATAAAAAATTAGATCACGATCATAGACGCGCAGTTTTCAAAACAATTCTTTAGGTTTTGAGGTAAATCCAGTCTGAGCAGCAGGTCTCAGAAGCTGTAGTGAAACAGAAATGTTTGTGCTGGTTTCTCTTTAATATACCCAGATGTACTATTTTTTTTAAGAATCTTTAAAGGAAGAGAAAATTAGGATTTTCTAATAAACCTTCTCACCCATTCTGATATGGAAATTAACATATGTATAAACATATAAACATATGTGTGTAACACAATATATGATAGAAAGCTTTCATATATGAATTACGTACACTACTCATGCATGCTGGCTTCGTCTTATATAATGTAAAAGTTTTATGCATCTTCACAAAAATGTTAAACCATTAAATAGATGAAAACATTTAAATATTTTAATATTTAGAGGTAAACTGATAACACACTAAGAAGTATAACTGCACAGGGATGTATTCAAGTATCATATATATATATATATATATATATATATATATATATATATATATATATATATATATATATATATATAATATATATATATATATATATATTGTATACACACACACATATCTTTTTCTAAGCCACTTATCCTTCTGGGTCACAGGGGGAGCTGGAGCCTCTCACAGTCTTAACCAACACTAAAGAACTAAAGACTCTTATTTTGTTTCTCTCTTTAAAATCACTATTAGATTGTTTTATTATTACCAATATGCAACTTTTGATATTGTTTGCAATATGAAATTTATTCCTAGTACTCCAGTGAAGCTGGTATGGCGCTGGGTTAAATACATGTTGCGTTTACATGTTTAAAGATATTTTTTAGCACATTACAACACTCTGCTGCTGTGTTGACTGGTTATTTGGACTGATGCTCAAACATTTGTGTTGTGTTTTTATCCCACCATTTGCAGAGCAGTTTAATATACATAATTCAAAATATTTTCATTGTCCAACGTTGGAAGTTCTTGACAGATCTCCATGTCTTCATATTTAATGCAGTTGCAAGGTGCTGAAGTTTTTCCAGTTCTTCAAACTGTGGTGCCCTCACATTCATTTGCTTTCATTAAATACATGAAGTTTAAAAGTCTGAAGAAGACCACTAGATGGCAATCACCCTTCATGGAAACGAAAAGGAAGACACTCGAACGGACAACATCTTTTCAACACTATTTTTAAGCTTTATTTTTGTGATTTTTGTTTGTTTTTTTGATTAGATTACAACTCAGAACGACATATTAAACAGATCAGCAGTCATCATATCGAACTTTTCAATGGTCGCAAGAGACATGATTATATCATATATCATATAAGATTTTACAGAGGCAGAAAGGAAAAGGCTATGACAACTGACCTATGAAACAATGTACATTCATTCATGAAATGTGGAATGTCTAGTTTATTAGGTATATATGATAAATGTGAGTAAAGCTCAATATATATGTAACAGCATATTCCCTATATTTTATAGCTAGCTTTGTTGTTTATAGGTGTCAGTTTATTATGTAAAGTTATTTTAAACTTTTCCTTCAGTACAGTCTCTATCTCACTGTCTGGTATGTCCCTCATGTCCATGATGTCTGTGTCTTCTTGAGGTTTAAATGTGACCTCACTGTAGGTCCAACCAACTAGAGCTCTGAAACCAGTGGCTGTCTGAAGGGAACAGATGGATTTCTGGGTGAACAAAGACTCACAACTGGTCTGGAGGTACTCGACTGTGTTCAGAAAATGGTCAACACCACGTGGTATTAACAAGAAGCTGTACATGGTCTTCGTCAGGCGCTTGTCAATGAGGCTACAGGTGACAAAGGCCTCGTTGTGGATCAGCGGCTTCCTCCCTATCTTCTCTAGGGTCCACCTATCGCCGTCATTCAGTAGACGAAACACCCCTGGGGGCTGAGGTTGGTCTTTACCTGCAATCATTTCTAACGGCTGCCAGATTTGGCACGACACCCCATAACTCACATCAGCAATATAAGGCTTACCATCAATCTCAACCAGGTTGATGAGATGTGAATTCATAGGATTGAAGTCGTTTTTGAGCACATTGAAGACCCTGGCACCCAGCGTGGTGAATTTGTAGCCCATCTCTCTCAGCACCCAGGAGAACAGCAGGTTGTTCTCACAGCACCAACCTCCACGATGGTCGAGCACAATCTTCTTATAGATGACCTTCAGGTCCATAGTGATCTTCTCTCCACAGTGGATACTGAGGTTCTCGAAGGGAACAGTCATGACATGCAGCTTGTGTATGGTGCACAGAGTGGGCAGGTCAGCTTTGTCGTACAGACCAGTGAAGCCAATCCTTTTGAAATATTCCTTAAGGTCCATTATCCTCCTGCAAGACAAAAATAAAAAGATTGAATAGCTTTCAACTGCCACGGAATCTGCTAATCTCTTAAAAAAAAAATCAACACAGAGTCTTACTTAGAAGTATGGCTGTGAAAAATATCTGCGCTACCAAACACATGGAAAAAGTTGTGAAAGTAAGCAGACCATCCGTTTGCACTTTCACTGCAAGTCCTACCAATAAATGTGCATGTGAAGTCTTGCCAAGTAACATGACCAGAATTTAAAACATGCTTTCAAAGAAAAGGGACTGCTCCACATTTCTAACAGTTATACAACTTACTTTTGAGCGGAAGTCAGAGAGAACACTTGTGCTTGCCACGGTGTCTAAAGTTGGCAGAAGGAGTGAGTGCAGGGTGGAGTGACTGGCTGGATAAGAGCAGGAGTTAACTCTCAGGCCACCAGGCTGTGGCTAATGTTTACATACACTGGCTACTTATTTATCTGACCAAAATGAGTACAAGTCATAGATGGTGCAATATTGGTGGACACATTAAAGTGCAGTGTGGATTACAGCTGCTATAATGTGACCATTTGGTGTTGCTTTAAGACTTACAGTCAGTTTCCCAGACCCACATTAAGTCTATGCCTAGAGTAAAAAGAACTTGCAATGGTGATTCACCACTGGCCCTGCAATTTTGTCTAACACTGCTTCAGGGCCAGTTTCCCAGACCCAGATTAAGCCTAAGCCTAAACTAAATGGAGTTTTCAAAGGTGAAACAACAGTGAAATTGCAGTTTAGTCAAAGACTGGGCTTAATCCGTGTCCATAAAGCTGGGCCTTGTTGCGTTTAGCAGAGATCAGACAGAAGATCTGTGTGGCACGAGCACAAAAGCTGTGACTAGCCACAGAAGCTGTGACTTACAGTTCTGCAGTAAAACTAAACCACATCCAGCTGTCACTGCAGCAGTGAGATCTTATTGAGACCCAAATATTTCCGACCTTTTGGATCTATATTTCTGTCTCCTGTAAGTCTGTCCAACCCGTGCCTGACAAAGATCTTCTTGGAGATCTTTAACTTAAAAGCTGCTGTTTAACCTGGCTTGGAAGCTGGTTTCTTTACATTGCTACATTCTCCCAGAATGATTTATAAAATCACTATAAAGGGCAACATTTAACAAGCTAACTGTACAACTTGAATCCATGATATTTTACACCGTGAATGCAACTGATTGAATAGCTTTGACCAAATTGCATTTAAAATAAAAGTGCCAAAAATGCCTCTTTTTGAACCACTTTCTTTCCCCCAAAGAAACACTGAAAGTGAGGTAGGAGCATGAAGATCTTTTTAAAGTTTAAAGAACCCCCATATAATGTAACACATAATGGTTTCATACCAGTTATAGGTATTACCTAGAACCGTACATCCAGGCCAAGAACAGTTAAAGAACTTTTGTTATAGGATGGGATTGTACAGCTGACATTTTTCTTGGTAAAAGTTACTTTTGTACATGATTTTAATCGCACTTGTCTATCATCTGAATAAGAAATTAACAAACATGACCAGAATGTTTTTGTGTCCTTTTTCTTTAATACAGATGAGTCTTGGACTGATCTACAGTTTTTGTGGGGGGTTTTCTTCTGGAAATGTTTTGCCTGCTTATAGCAAGCATTATCTCTATCTGGAAAACAGCCCAAGGAAACACCACTTCTAATCACGTGGCTTCCTCAGCCCTCAGTTTGCTCAGGGTGCAGAGTGCTCTTTTGTGCTTTCATAAACAGATTCAGTTATTCACACCCACGTTTGGGATGGTTAATTTTATATATTCATCCACAGATTACTGATGTGTGCTCTAAAATTTAATTTGTAACATATTTAGATTAAAACTCAAGGTCAAATAAGTGAACATTCAATTGCATAATTATTTAAAATTGTTTAGTCTACTCAAATAGATACTTTCAGGAACAATGACCTGATCATTAAACAGGCCTTAACATAAATTTGAATGGTTTGATTGGAAGAAATAGCTGCCATTGTCTCTATTCCAGTGCAGCTTTAACACTTACCATAGCCTTCAGCTGTTACTATGTGGGTCATTCAGCACTGTCGTGTGTGCTGTCCACACAAATGCACAATTAATTCTTTGGTAAATTAGATGTAGAAACATTTTTGGTAAATTAGATGTAGTAAACTTCTTTGGTAAATTAGATGTAGTAAACTTGTAGTCAAATTAGATAGTAAACTCTAAACCACAAGGTGGCTGCTAATTTAGACCCACTACCTGCATGTATCATTAACTATCATCATGTAATTATCAACTACTGTTCAATTGTGTCCTTGAGTCCTGACACTTTTAATGCAGGATAGCTGATTATAACAGGATTGCAACAACTGTCTGTGGTATATTTGTCTAAACTCTACTTAAAAAGGCCTAATAAAGCAATAAGCTAAGAAAAGCAGTTTGCATTACAGTAATTTCATCATTGGTAAGGATGTAATTAGGTGCAATACGAAGCAGAGACTACATGAAATATGATAAAATACACAATTTTTCAGTTGATAATTTTACATTATTTAAAAAAAAATGACATAAGCTATTATTTCAACCAAGAAATGTAGTTCCTTTAGAGTATGTCAAGTAGCCATGGACCGTTAAAAATTGAGAAAAACATTCAGTGGTCCATACTTCCCTAATTTAATAGAATTTTTAACTTTTTGTGATGTAATAGTAAACATATCATAATATAGCACTGTCCAAGGCAAACCCCTTCGCTTTATAAGTGTTTTTTACTCCCAAATTACCACCATGATGACAATGCTAATTTCCATAATCACCCCTAGGCGATTTAACCTTATTTAGCACCAAGCTAACAATATTGTACATACCTTTTCCTATGCTGGGGCCGAATCTCAAATGGATCCCTACTCTCGATGAAGTGCATTACATAGGACATACAATACTGACCTAAAATACTGTCTCATAGCCATTTGGGATCCATAATTAGTAGCATGTTCCAGACTTTATTCAAATTCAAATGCAAATTTTAAATGCTAATTCAGTTATGAATTTACAATTGCAATTTGAGTGTGCATTATTTAAGACAAAATTTATGTTTGTATTGCATTTCTGTGCATAATTGCTGATAAAATGGTAAAAACAGTCTTTTTGACATTTTATTTTTATTGTCCTAATGGTATGACCCTGACTATTAAAAATGGAAAAAAAATTAGCTCATGTGCAATTACATTTTCCTGTCTGATGCTGGTCATGATGTTACTAACATCGTCACAAGTTCTCATGGAGCTGTGCATTAAATTAAACCTGATTACCCTGTCAAAACAAGCATGAGTCTACCTGATCTGCCGCTACACTTTCACAAAACCGTATGTACTGTCGAATTACATCAAAACACTGCATAGTTAAGACATATTTTGCTACTTAAAAAAATATCTATCTATCTATCTATCTATCTATCTATCTATCTATCTATCTATCTATCTATCTATCTATCTATCTATCTATCTATCTATCTATCTATCTATCTATCTATGCGCTGCTGCACTGAATGAACTATCTGCATCTTAGAGCTGCCCTGCTATATTGCCTACTTGCCTCCAATTATAATACCAAACACTAACCTTAGACTGAAGACACTGCAGGCAATGCATTCTGCTTAGCATCAAAATAATTAGCTAAGATTTACATCTTACACCTTACATCTTACACAAATGTAAGAAAGGTTCATGTGGAAACTTTTCTTACATTTGTGGTTTCTGCTCAGGTCAATTCAAGTTTTTTATTTTTAAAATTTTTAGAGACATTACAGAATACTTAGGAAACACATTCATTGCATACATACAAAAATACTGCTACATTTAAAGGAATAAAAGTATCACTGTGCTTTACATGTCCAAGTATTTAAACTATCGTATAGAACAGGGGTTCTCAAGCTTTTCTAACCCAAGGCCCACCTGTTTATAAATGCAAAGAATGGCCCGAAGGAAAACTATAAACTTTTTAAATACAATTTTCTTAAGTGCTGAAACCGAAACTCTGAGAATCAGATAAGATCATTCATTTTTGCTCAATCATAGTTCCCAAAATTCACTGTTATGTTAATAGATTTGCAGAAATGTTAAAAAAGGGGAAAAAAGCAAAAAGAATAGAAATGTACGAGGTGGATGTGGACTGTGACTTGGAGCTTCAGCAGCAGACTTTCATTTGATATAACCAAACTACACTCCACTCCTCAGGCTTCTGGATTAGCCTAATCACAATCAAAAAATAATAAACCTTACTTAATATCTGCTTTATCACTGGTTTATCAATTTGAGTTTAACCCCTCATGTCGCTGATGCCTGGCCAAAAATACTTTCTAATGTGCCAAAATCAAATGCATATAATTCACTATTATTTTATTTTACAGCAGCTCGTGGTGCAGAAATGAAAGCGAATGAGAAAGCAAGCTCTGTTGATGAATTTCCTCGTTTCAGTGTAGACTGTGTTCCCACCGGCAGCCAGGGTTTATTTGGAAACAGACCACAGTTCAGTTGTCTGTTGCAGACCTGAATACGGGTTTTCATAGACGTCAAAACGGAGCGAACTAAAGAAAAAGTGCGGTACCACACCAAACAAGGTAGGTGTTAAAGTGCCCTGAGAAACTTAATTTCTCTCCATCTCTGGCTTGCTGTCTGCATCACGCATCTGCAGCTACGTTATGTCAAATTGATGACTTGCAATGTTTTTATTTGTACATAGATTGCTTATAATTTAAAAACGTTTGATTCTTGATTCTTAATTACTGAGTTAATCTTTTTTCCACTTATGTTTTTTATGATATTAAAGTGATGTTACCAGCCTACTACAAACTACTGCCTCCCCAGAGTTCAGGCCCGTGGACCACTGCAGGGTGCTTCACGGCCCACTGGTGGTCCGCAGACAATTGCAATTAGTGCAATAATAATAAACAGTGCTTTTCAGTGCACGGGTGGCGCTGTGAAGCAAGGTGTTGTGGTGCTTCGCCAAAGGCCCACAAAGCCAGAAGAGCAAAGACCAGGGCTTAGGCACAGGTGTGGGCAGGCCCAGATCAAAAAAAATTATAGGCCCCAAATGTTTTGTTCGGCCTCTATCTGGAACCTTTTCTTGGTGTTTTTAATCACATCACAGCAGGTTACGTGAAATCTCTGCAGCACCATGAAGCCATAATGTTAACTGCGGATCCTAATATTAAAAAAAATTCATATTCAAAGTTCAGCATTCAAAGCAAGTTGTAAATCAAGTTA